CAATATTTTATATGTAATATATAATTATATTATTTCGCCGTTTGAAACGCAGTTATGCATACAAGTTGTATTTGCACTTAATACATAAGAATTTGCTAATTAACGCTAAGTAACATGCGATTCATTGACGCATCATGACGATTATGTGCACGTACTAGCTATAATGCGCAATCAGGCGCAATCCATAATAGGTGTAATTGTACCTAGTTCCGGCGATTATTTAGAAGTTGATTTTAGCCAATTAAAATAAGATTTATTTGAAAAATCTTACAAACAAATAAATAAAAATAAAATAAAATATTTTTTTTAATGTATCCTTTTAATGATAAACATTATGACAGTGTCCTTTATTTTTAAGATTTTTTTAGAAAATAATTATAAATAAAAATAAAAAAAAAATAAAAATAAAATAAAAATAAAAAGTATAGAAAAATGTTATCTTAACCGTTTTTCTCTTCAAATTTTATTTGATTTTTTCCTTGATTTAAAAAAAATTAATCATTTTTTGTGAAAAATATTAAAATTTGCAATTTTTTAAGAATAATCGCTTTCTAAAACGCATTTTAAAAACAAATATATGAAAGACAAAATGTAAATTTGTATTTAAAAAATCTTACTACATATATTTATTTTAATATACATATATATTTTTATGATATCTAAATTTTTCGATATTTTAGCGAAATTTATTTTTCAATTTCAAAAATTTTTTAAATAAAAAATATATTTAATTTACATGTCTTATTAATTTCTGTCAAAAATGTTTTAAAAAATAATTTCTATTTTTAGTTTAATTTATAAACATTCGTCGCTTCTTAACATTGCAATCAAACATCTTCAGGGACATCGAGATCCACTTAACAGATGTACCGTATACTTCGCGTTCTCGTTATATCATAGTGAAAGTTTGAGATGTTTAATACTGATTTTCTTTAATATCGCAGAGTCGATTTTAATGCGCGCGCTTTTCACATCCGATGCTAATCAAAATAAATTATACGCATGAGAGGGCGTCTGAAATGCGTTGATGTATATAATACACTAGAAGAGAACATTATTAAATCAAGAATTAACTTCCTATGAATATATAAATGTCGATGAATACATAAGAGCCTTTAAAACCAACATTTATTACTTTTTCGTAATTTATTAGTATCTGCTGTTAATATAGAGAGATCTCTCTCTTCTTTTAGATTATTTTTGCACTAAGTGAGAGAGAGAATCTTTCTAAATCTTTTCAATTTTTTTTTCAAATTTGCAAGATTTGAACTTGAAAAATTGTTGTCTCGATTTTCTGAAATAATAATATCTTTAATCAGACAATCTTTAAATTATAGTATTTTTAATGTTTGTTTACTGCTCTAAATTTTTTTAAAAATGTTTTTCAGTAGAGAATTACTATCATATATTCATCATATCATATAATCAATTTCAGATCGATTTTGTTTCTTAACGGAAATGTTGAGGGAAATGTCAATCATATTTTGTTTAACTTTTTAAATTTTTCATCATATATCTTTTATTATATATCTTTATAATAAATTTTAAGCCTCAAATTAAAGTTCTTATCTAAAATAAATTCCATTAAAATCAATTGAAAAATGCATTATAATTTGATTAATCTTTTAGCTCCAAAAATCAGCGATAAACTCTTCTTTCTCAATTGTTTATAACAAAATTATTATTGAGTTTCCATATTTTCGCTGAGAAATAATTATCTCAAATTGGTCAGGAAATCTATTGTTAAAAGCACATTCAGTAGTTTGGACACATGTTAGATATAAATATTTTTATTTTGTTGTTCTTGTTGCTTCTGAATTCAGAAGAAACATAATTGCGATAGTGAACAAAACAAATAAAGGAAAATCAGATTGTATAAAACATTATAAATATCAGTGAATTATCTTTTTACAAAGATGATAATTACCTAGCCAAAAAGGTTTCGTGTCGATAAAAAAATGCAATTACTCATATAATACTGTCTCGTATAATTCAACATAGACATGTTGATCAGATTAATGCTTATCAATAAAGCTGTTTGATTAACATCTTTTAAGATTTTAAGATACTGTAACTCTTTTAAAACAAAACACTTGGCAAATTAAAAGTTTCTTAACTCAAAATATTTATATATTAATATATATTTTTTTATATTATTTTCTATTTATTCGTTTAATCTTGTTACATCATACATAGTAAATTATCCTAATATAAATACACAATATTTTACGCGAATATCATTTACAATTAAATACTTATTTATGTAGCAATATCTTATTGCTTACACAATTATTTACTTATTTACATTTATTTATTTATTTATTTATAAATAATAGGAAAAGAGTCTTTTTTTATACAAATGGTTACAAGTATTAATTATTTTATGATCCAACAGATTTTATGACGAATTTTATATTGAATATTTAAGATATTAATTATATATTTATAGTATAATTTTATTTTATAAAAATCTTATCTATGTATAGGTATATTAATCATAATTAGAAATCGTAATATATATACAAAGCCATTACATGAAAGAAAAAAATTATTATACATTTTCGCATTTGCATAAAAAATCACCTTTATTTTGTTATTATATGGTATATATATATAAAATAACAAAATAAAGGTGATTTATTAGAAAAATATTATTATACATTTTCGTATTTGCGTAAGAAATCACCTTTAGTTTGTTATTTTATATATATATATATATATATATATATATATATATGTATATATAAAATAACAAAATAAAGGTGATTTCTTATGCAAATGCGAAAATGTATAATAATTTTTTTCTTTCATGTAATGGCTTTGTTTTCGAGATAAAATACTAGATCAAACTCGATAACAGAATTTGATTTATGTGTATTATGATAATTTATATTTGCAATCCTCGTTTGTGTGGCAATAATATTTTTTTCTCAATCGCGAAGATAACGCTCTTACGTATGACGGATGGTGTTAATAATTTTATTACACCGAAATTGTATTAATCAAGTAGAGAAACGACCTCTTAATTTCGTTCCATCTAGCCTCTTATTCAGGGTCCAGTCGCATAATAAATAACTTCGACAAAAAAATGCGTTAAAGGGGTTCTAAACACTGTCGTGTTTTATCGATAAAGCATCATTTTTGCGCACCCTTTTCTTTATTGGTTGAATAGAATAATAAATGCTTTTGTATTACACGTGCAGGCAAAGTAGCACTTTCGGTGCGTGTTTTCTGTGCGGAAAGCGGCCGATTTCCCCCGCCGCCATCTAGCGGCGACGCAGTGAGTGAATAAGCAGCAAAGCCATTATCTACGGCTGAGCCGCGTTAAAAGTCATTGTATACGGCTCAAGCCGTAGGCAATGTATTGAACACGGCTATCCCCCCACCGTGCCGCGGCAAGATGGCGGCGTGCAATCGGCCGCCTCGCGCACAGAAAACGCGCAACAAAGCCACTTTGCCTGCACTTGTAATACAAAATAGTATGTGTATCACGTGCGGATTGACAATTGTTCACTCGTGTGGGGTGGTCGCACTCGCATTCGACTCGTGCGTCCATCTCGCGCACTCGTGACCAATTGTCAACTTTCCGCACTTGATACACAATATACTATTCCACGATGACACTACATACAGAAACAAAACGTGAACCTATTGATTTTATGTTAAAAACAAAAAAAAATTTAATTGAAAAATTAAAAATCTTCGTAAAATGTAATTCACTAATATTTATAATGTTTTATATGTATAATATATTATCTGATTTTTCTTTATTTGTTTTGTTCACTGTCCCAAAATTATTTTTCTTCTGAATTCAAAAGTAGCAAAAACAGCAAAATAAAAATAACATATTTATGTATAAAATGTGTCAAAACTACTGCAATGCGCTTCTAACTATAAATAGATTGCCTGACCAATTTGAAATGATTTTTTCCTAGCGAAAATATGAAAGCATCAATATAATGATTTTCAAATTATAAACAATTGAGAAAGAAGAGTTTATCGCTAATTTATTAAGCTAAAAGATTAATCAAATTACAATGCATTTTTTGATTAATTAGGTAAAATTTACTTTAGATATAAACTTTAATTTGAGGCTAAAAATTAATCATAAAGATATATGATGAAAAAAATTAAAAGAAGCAATAGTATATTGTGTATCAAGTGCGGAAAGTTGACAATTGGTCACGAGTGCGGGGGATGGACACACGAGCCGAAGGCGAGTGCGACCACCTCACACGAGTGAACAATTGTCAATCTGCACGTGATACACATACTATTTTGTATTACAAGTGCAGGCAAAGTGGCTTTGTGCGCGTTTTCTGTGTGCGAGGTGGCCGATCGCACGCCGCCATCTTGCGGCGGCACGGTGCGGGAATAGCCGTGTTCAAAGTTATTGTCCACGGTTGAAGCCGTGGGCAATAACTTTGAACGCGGCTTAGCCGTAGGCAATGGCTTTGAATGCGGCTTATTCACTCACCGCGTCGCCGCTAGATGGCGGCGTGGAAAATCGGGCGCTTTCCGCACAGAAAACACGCACACAAAGTGCCACTTTGCCTGCATGTGTAATACAAAAAATTTAAATTTAATTAAACATTTTTTTTGTTTTTAACAAAATCGGTAGGTTCGCGTTTTGTTTCTGTATGTACTTGAATCATGAAAAAGCATTATTCTATGCAACCAATAAAAAAAATGGTGCGCAAAAAAATGTTTTATTGGTAAAACAAGACGGCGTTTAGGATTTCCACGTAATTGCCGGAGCCAGGACACTGATTATATAGTTAATGTTTTATAATTTAATGCCCGTCAATGTCCGCCAACGTGGAAGTCATCGCGATTGTCTCAAGGGCGCATAACTTCGCGATGCGACTCGCATTAATAATTCGCGCCCTTCCGCCTGCCCCCTCTTTCCTTTTCTGTGTGTCCCTGTGACCAATGTCCGCTAATATAAAATGATAGTCACTTACCGATCTTATTTTGTTCCTTCCTTATCTCTGTTCCAGCACTCTCTACAGCCACTGAGGATGTGGGAGATGGGCCCCAAGGACACGAAAACGACACCGGTGAGTGAATTTCTCAAATTAAAAAATTCTGCTTTTTTTCAATTTTTTGTTATTTTTTCGCATTCGGAACAGATAAAATTAAAAGATTTTATGAGAGTCGTTAATTTTACGAAAGAGAAAGAGTTGTTGATGGGTGAATTTTATTTCTCTTGACCCTCACTCTATTACATTGGTTTTATTTTAAAACCATAAATGCATACTACTTTTAAGCGTTAAATTTTTAGGCGTCCACAAAAAAATGCAATTGTTATAATTAATTCAAATCTAATAGAGAAATCGATGAGTTTGTAATTTTTGTCTTAATTTCGTTCATCAGATATGCCCTGTAATTGAGAAAATGTCTCTATCGTTTCTTTCCGCTGTTGAATTCTCAGTTGATAAGAAATTCTATCCATTTTTATCTATTTTCATATTTTTATCATCAATCAATCTGCAAGTTTTAATCTTTTTTATGATCAACTCTTTTCTCACGATTTCTTCTCTATTACAATCGATCATATTTCGATTATTAATTAGTCGTATCTCAAATTTAGTCTACGAATCTAATTTTTAAGAATATTTTTAAGCATCGTATTCAAATATATATATATAAAATACTTGGATCATAATAAGATCATAATTAATCGCGAAAACTGCAAATTCTATGTATGATATATGACTTTTAATTACACGATGTCATCTTTTTTTTTCAATTACTCAAGGCTACGATGACTTTTTAAAAAGATATCAACAATATAAAATTTAAAAAAAACTGCGCACAGCGTAAAATAAAATCTCTGGACAAAATTGATTCAAATTGACTTAAACTGTTTTTTCAAAATTATATGATTTCTTAATTTTGTTTTTTCAAAAATTTATAAATACAATTTAAATGTGTCAATTTTGACATTGATTCGTATTCCCCGAATTTAAAACAATCTCTTTAAGTTGAAATAAACATAATTTCTAAAAAACTATATTTGATAAATTTTCCATGATCTAAATCGCAATTAAATATTGCAAGACAAAAAATTTTTTAAAATCTATAAAAAAAAAGAAAGAGAGGTTAGAATTGAGAAATTGTAAGAAAACAATCATGTTTGTTGAGATTTGGCCCAGGGTCAACTAGTTTAATTTTCCAGTCAACGAATAGATTAATGCTAGAGACTAATAACACACGTGTAATTGATGTACTTGACGGATCGAACACCATCAAGTGAATCACGATTAAGTTAGGTAGATTAAGACATAAGGTTAGGTTAGGTTATTGTAGAGATTTAGTATATTCCAATACATAATAATATTCAAATTTTAATACATTATTAAGGATATATTTTTATAGTTTTGATGGATTATTTTCGCAACCAATTATATCTCGAGGAGTTTTTTGTTATTAACTTCGCGACAATGAGTGATTAATTAATGCTTATACGAGATGGTAATTCTTTCCGAGAATACGCAAGCGCGAATGTGTCTGTCTAATTTCACGTAAATAAAGGATTGGCTGTAAATATAGTTTATGTTATTGTGACAAACCAGCTGTCATAGTAATAGAATATATATGCATATACAAGTTTTTGCGTTGCGTTCATGAAATGAGTCACATAAAAATTTACATAAGAACTGATTTCTCACTTTTTTATGTATAAATAAGTTTATATGCATATTTATAACTTATAAACTATATATGCAAATTTATAATCGTATAACTGATGTCATACAAAAATATTATAATTTAATCTATTATAAATACTAAAGTATAATCTACTAGGTTTGCTTAATTCACTGATAGAAAAAACATAAATATATAGAAATCCGGCTCTTTACAATTTTGAGAAATGTTAAATATGAAATTTCAAATAAGAAATATTTATTTTTTTTATAAATTCTTGTTTACATGTTTAGAAATTCACATGTTTAAAGATTGAAACAACTTCTTAAAGATGATTCAATATATTTGATTTCGAGAAAATACAATAATATCGAGAGAAGTTATGAGGTGATTTTTGATGAAAAACTATTTTAAACAAAAATTTTATAACTTTTACTACTCTTTATAATTATGTATTTAAATTTTTGGAAATGCTTTTCAAGCTTCTTTAGTAATTTTACAAATTTTTTATAAGACCAAAAACTTAAAAACGTTTATTGTAAAATGCAATTACGTATAATAATTATGCATCCTAAAAAATTGCATTTTAGGAAATAAACATTAAAAATCTTGTTATATATGCGTAGCGCAATATAAATTACATCTATTTACAATCGCGTTTGTGTGACACAGTTAATAACAGTTTATTCTATTCCATATTCCATACAATTGCATGCATGCACAATACGTAACACAACAAATTACATAACATGTAAATAATTTAAATAGCAGAGAATAGTTACACAGAGACATTTTCCACAATATTATTTTTATTACTTAAAAGATTTTAATGAATATCCGCGGTAATAATCGGGTGAAGCTTTCGTGCGCAGATAGAGCAGGTTAAACCGAGCAGGAAAGTTCTTTAACATCTTACAATCTTCGCAATAATTATTGAAAAATTAATTTAAAAAATCGACTAATCCGAGGGAATATAAACGCATGACAAGAAGATAATAAACAACATACATATGTCAGAATTGTTAACTGAAAGGTGTACAACAAAATCTGGAAAGTGCAAAATCTCGGGTTTAGATATTAGGTTGGAAGGAAAGTAAGTTTTTTAGCTTGAAATTCGAGCAAATTTATTCTTATTAAAAAACAACTTGAATCAATATGTAACATCCATTATTTTCTATAATAATGTGCCATCCTTCGGGTAGCTGCGTAAAAGTTGAACGTTTTCTCAGCGAAAAATTGTTGAAGGTGGTTTTGACAATCCTCCAAAGAAGTCTTAGAAGAACGTCTTTTTAAAGAAGTTTTGTAATGACTGAAACAAGTAATCTGGAGGAGCAATATCTGATGAATATATTAGATACAATAGAACATCTGAGCTAAATTGCAATATTTTTTCCTGAATAAGCAAAAAAGCAAGAGGTCTTGCTCTGGTGGACGAATAAAACATTTACAATAAAACCTTTCTTACCCAGACAGCACACAATGTCCAGTGGACGTCCAGTTTTGGTTTTTATTTGGTACAAACGTCCATGGACTTAATACGAACGTTTTAAGAATATCCATTATTGGATGTTCAAAGTATATTTATATTTGGACGTTTTAAAAATGTTTATTTTATGCATATATGTAAAGAATTCTTATCGATAAAAATAATTTCGTGTAAAATAGTTATAAACCCTTTTTTTCAGCAAACAGAATATAAATATTATATAACATAAGGAAATAATAAACGCAATATAACGGATCGTAGTTATGCGTAGATGAAATAATTTTTTTTCATATATACGCAATATAACTCAGCATACATGTTCCAAAGACGTTCAGAGAATATCTAGAATATCCTTTGGATGTTCTCTGAACGTCTTCGATATACTTCGATCATATATAGAGTCTGTTATAAAGGCTGTGTGTTCTGAAATTTAAAGTTAGTGTTGGGTATCAATTGTGTAACTTTTTTTAAAGTAAAAAATTTTCGGCAATCACGCATTGATTTTAAAATAAAATTAATGTGTGATTGGAAGAAATTTTTCACTTTTCACCTTTTCACTTTGGAAAAAGTTACACAATCGATAGTTTATACGTTACGTATATATTTATAAATTTTTAGCAGTATTGACAGTGAATTTTGAAACACAGCCAAAATTTACCTAGTGACAGTGATTATCGTGTGAGCACTCACTTGTTCGATGTTTTCTAAACGTATATTACGTGACTGTGATATTCAACTTTTTTCGTCCTTCCCGCCTTGGCTTCGCTATCTCCGAAGGCTGTGCATACATACTCGAAGGTAATCCTTATTTATTTCATTATTAAATTCATAAATCAACTCTATAAAGTTATAAATAAATTAGCTTACATATTTATTCGTGTACTTTTCATAATATTTTCCTTGTATTTGTTGGTTCTTGTAAATTTGCAGCCTTCCGAAAAATAGTAATAAGGTTAAGGTGACAAAATTCCAAATAAAATAAAAAATATAATTAAACTTAAGGCACATAATTTCATATAATATTCAGAATAGCATTATTAGACTTCTTTAATTGTTTTTAATAATTATTACGTTGATTTTTACGAAAATTATGCTAATTGTGAATTTAGTCCATTAAAACAAAGTTATAACTTCCTCTATGTACCTTGTACCTATAAAATTTATGGCTAATTATAATTTTACTATTTCTTTATTAAGATTTTAATATGATCTTTAATATAAAAAAATGTATGTGTATAGTGGACGTAAAGAAATAATGTTACGCACCGTTAAACATCTAACACATTTTATTTAGTCTTGAAGTCATCGATACTCAAGTCGATACTCAACATTGAATGTAAAGTAAAATATAATTATATATTTATTATATATATAATTATATTTTACCTCACATTCAATGTTGAGTACCAATTTGAGTATCGATGACTTCAAGACTAAATAAAATGTGTTAGATGTTTAATGTTGCATAACATTATTTCTTTACTTCCACTATACACATACATTTTTCTATCACATCTTTTTCTTGCAATTTAATCAAATTTTATATTTCAGAGTATCTGTTATGTATACAGTGGAAGCAGAGGAATAAACAGACTTTACATAACATTAAACATCTAACACATCATTGTGTTCGGGAAAGTCGACATTTCACATTGGCACTCAATATTGAAGATAAGGTAAGATATAATTTCCAATTATCTGTTATGCATATAGTGGAAGTAAAGAAATAATATTACACCACGTTTAACATCTAACACATTTCATTTTGTCTGGAAGTCATCGATACTCAAATTGATACTCAACATTGAATGTAAAGTAAAATATAATTATATGTTTGTTATATATATAATTATATTTTATCTTACATTCAATGCTGAATACCAACTTGAGTATCGATGACTTAAAGACTAAATAAAATGTGTTAGATGTTTAATGTTGCGTAACATTATTTCTTTACTTCCACTATACACATACATTGTTTATACTATATCAAGATGACAAATTTTCTAATATTAAAATAATAAAAGCTTAATTGTATATTTTATAACTTTTTCTATTGTTGAGCGACTTTAGTGAATTTAGTTTTTCTACAATTTAATTTTTCTACAAACAAAAATACCTCATAAATATTATTTTGATTAAAATTTGAGAGAAGTAATTTGTAACAAGTATCTTTTATTTCATTAGTAGACAAAATTTTAAATTTTAAAACTTAAAAATGTTTTGGTTGTATTAAATTTAATTAGAAATTACAAAATTAACCGTAAAATAATTTTTTATATAAATTTGGATATTATATTTGGTTTTGTGAATCTTTTATTCAATCAACTTTTATTTTTTCATCTGAAGACTTTCATAATGTCTGAAATTAAGAAGCATTATATGAGAGCAAAGAGAATGCGTTTTCAAGAAGAAGTCTTTTCTAATCCTGAGCTTGATTCTGAGTCCGATCCTGAACCTGATCCTGAGCCTAATCTTCCTAACATAACTACAGAAAGATTCTCTGAACCACTAAATATAAGTATCTTACCAAATATAAATATCTCCACTAATGACGCACAATTAGAACTTTTAGAAAATAACAATTATTTAGAATCAGATTTGTTTTTACATGAGTCTATTTATGAATCCGATCAATCAAATGAAAACTTTCCACCTTCCTTCCACTCACCCTCAGATTCAGTCGATCTTGATGTACATAAGTATTTTCCTCATGACAATAGTAAAAAAAATAATCCAGAAGAGAACATACAATTAAAATTTATCCAGTGGTCATTGACGCATAATATTTCACATGCAGCATTAAGTGATTTATTAAAAATGTTAAAAGTTCGTATACCTGAATTACCCACTGATGCTCGAAGTCTTTTGAAAACTTGTCGTACCGTTGTAAGTAAAGTTATTGAACCTGGACAATATTATCATTTTGGTGTAGAGAATTGTATTAAAAATCTTATAAATTACTCAACTGATTTTTTTAAAAATACTGAAATTATAGAACTTGCAATTAATATAGATGGTCTGCCTTTATCAAAAAGTTCTGGAAGTCAAGTTTATCCCATTTTATGTCGGCTTGTCAAATATCATAGTAATGTAGATATAATTGGCATTTATCATGGTTATGAAAAACCTAAAAACGCTAACAGCTATTTAAACGATTTTGTTGAGGATGTATCAAATGTTATTAATAATGGAATTATTATCGATACTAAACATTATTCTGTCAAAATATCTTATTTTGTATGTGATGCAGTAGCGAAAGCTTATATTACCTATACAGTTGGTCATATGGGTTATTATTCATGTACTAAATGTTATGAGGAAGGTACTTATATTAATAATCGTGTCTGCTTTCCTAATACAAATCATTTACGTTTAAGAACAGATACTTGTTATAGATCAAAAGTCCAAGAAGAGCATCATAATGGCACTAGCATATTAGAACAGATTCCTAGTCTTGATATGATTAAAGCTTTCCCATTAGATTATATGCATTTAATTTGTCTTGGAGTCGTAAAAAAACTAGTAGTAAATTTATGGTGTTTTGGAAAACCTTCCGTAAAATTATCACATCAGAATATTGCAAATATATCTTCTAATTTAATTAATCAAGCTAAAAATATGCCAATAGAATTTAACCGTAAACCTCGATCATTATTTGAAGCAAAAAGATGGAAAGCTACCGAATTTAGACAATTTTTGTTTTACACTGGCCCTGTTGTACTTAGAAAAATATTAAATAATGATAGATATACAAATTTTCTTTGTTTACATGTTGCAATAATTATATTAACGTCTTCTAAGTATTCATTATTTATTGATTACGCTTCTAATCTTCTTTCATATTTTGTGAACACATTTAAAATTTTATACGGCAAAGAAAATACATCTCATAATATTCATAATTTGTTGCATCTTTCTGAAGATGTAAAAATTCATGGCCCATTAGACAATTTCAGCGCTTTCCCATTTGAAAATTATTTGCAAACTATTTTAAAATCTATTCGTAAAGGTGAAAAACCGTTAGCTCAAATAATTAAAAGGAAAAGCGAACAAAATTTCCATCAAGTTCAAATAGAAAAGACTAAGAAAAAATATCCTATTTATGAAAAAAAACATTTTGATGGTCCAATTCTTAATCTTAACATTTGTAAACAATTTAAAAAAATCATTTTACAAGATTTTGTGTTGCGTATAGATCATCCTAATAATTGTTGTACTCTTATCAATGGAGACATAATTTTAATTGAAAATATTGTGCATTGGAATAATGACTTTAAGTTAATTGGCAGAAAATTTTTGATTGTAGAAAATTTCTATACAAGTCCCTGCGAATCAAAAGAGATTGGAATCTGTTCTGTTGATAATATTGGTGCTCTTGAAATATTTAATGTAGCAGATATTTCATTTAAATGTGTAATATTAAATTGGGAGGAAAAACAAGTAGTATTTCCATTAATACATTCAAACATCAATTAATGTTATTAATATATCAATTATTAATGTATTATCAACAATTGCTACTATTGTTATAGCAGAAAATTTCTCATTATTTATGTAAAATAGTTTTTAATTGATTTTAAAGATTTTATTTTTAAAATTTTATTTTATAACTATTAACAAATTGTGTTTTGTATTTCAAAATTGAAATTAAATGTTTTGCATTGCCTACACTATTCTTGATTACGAGTCTGTTTTTCTTAGTGTTGTGTGTTTTGGTTTTTTAGTTGTTCATGTAGAAAATGTGTGAACAAACATGGACTGTAATACAGTTTGAACAAGATTGTTCTGTGGAAGCGGTACCCTCAACATGGATTCAAGGGCAGTTTTGCTATTGGCCTACATACTCAAGAGACAAAATAACGAGTGCAATAAGGAAGCATGAATCTTTAAATACATGTTGGCCTAGCTACAAAATAAGAAACTTCAGAAATTCTACGTTTGGTAAGTTTTTATAATACAAAATTTTAAAATAAATGTTAGATTAAAAAGAAAGATTCATGTAGGATATATTTACACTGCGTCTGATATCGGATGTATGTCGGATATCAGACGCAGTGTGAATCCTGCATTAAATAAAATATCACTGATGTAGTAAAGCGAGCTATATGAGAATCTGTCGCGGAATAATACGCAAAGTGTTTATAATAGATATTTACTTTATTATTAGTATATTTCGATTCTTATTCGATCCTTCTCTCATCAATGAACAATTAAATCAAATTCTAAACGCATTATTTACCACACCAGACTGATATAGCCCGCTTTATTACAACTAAAATAAATGTATTTACTAATTTTGATACATTTGATTACATGAAACAAATGCAAAATAAAACAAAATTATATTTAACTTTTTAAGATAACTATTCCAAAGCACGCTCAAAAGCACATATTGCTGAATTTACGAGCGACTTAAATTCTGAAGTAGAAACTAATACTAAAAGAAAAGTATATAAAAAAATTTTAACTTCTTCTTCATCAGAAGAGAACTTAATACCACAACCACCAAAACTAAAAACAAAAGTTAAAATGGGAAAAAAAATAAATTCTGTAAGAAAAGAAAGTTCTGAAAAATCAATTAATGTTGATCAGTATGAAATATCCAATACCGAAATTGGTAAGTTTTTATAGCTATATAATAACATTTATAATAAACATAAAATTTTAATATATTTATTTTTTTTTATATATATCTTATATTTTTAAAATACTTTTTACAGATAATTCAATTCTTGATGAAAATGTAGATTTCCTAAATTATGAAAGAGAATTAATTAGTAAGTGTTTTTTATATATAATCTCATAGTCTTTTATTCATTTTATAGTCTATATGGACCGGTATTTATAGTTCAATCTTATATTTAAGATCGTCTTAAGTCTGCTTTAAGGTTAACTTAAGATTCTATTCAACCGATCAAATAGCTTCGTAGCATCTCAAGCTCGGACTTAATTTTAAATATAAAATCGGACAATGAATACCGGCCTTTATATATATATATATATATATATATATATATATATAAAGGACAATAAAAAATTAAATATTTTTATTAATTTTTATTTTACAAGAATTGGTTAATATATATTAAATTTTTTCTAGGTACGCCACGTAATTCCCCCTACAGTCACCTCAGTAAGAGAGAAAAATTTGATGGTAATTATATATATATATATATATATATAATATAAAAATATACATGTATGCACACACATGAATACATATTAGTACATATACGCATATATGCATACATACACATACATACATACACGTGTGTGCGTACATGTGTGTGTAACTAGACATAATATTAAATAATTTGAAATAATTTTCAGAGAAGACTGTTAAAAACTTAGTGGCTCAAAATTATTTAATACGTAGTGTGGTTCTGGATATACTCTCTGAAGTTAAAGAAATTAAGTTGCAACTAAAAAATAATTCTCAGGAAATAAATACCCGTGGAAAAGAACAAATAATTTCGGTATTTAATAATAAAGATAATGATATAAATTTTCCACTTAAAACCGAAGAAGAACTGCAGATAGTGGAAGCCGTCTTAGAAAATGACGACGAAATTACTAAAGCGGTAAGTTTTACTCAACCATATTACATATTTATTTTAAAAATAATTATTATATATAAAAGTATCATATACTCAGTGCCATTTGATAGAAAATGGAAATATATGAAAAAATGTCTAATACTATTTTTCGATGCGATGAATAGTTTCGCCGCAATTAATTATTGTAATAATCAGTCATTCAGCGCGGAGCTGCAAAAATCGCTTCCTTTTATAGCCCCACGCTGATTTTTTGATTACAATATAATTAATTGCAGCAAAACTATTCATCGTATCGAAAAATAGTATTAAACATTTTTTCTTAGATTTCTCTATCAAATGGTGCTCAGCATATGCGACATTTTTTAAACACTATATATACATATATAATATAAATTATTTATTTATTATAACTTATTTCTAATGATTAAGGCTTTTTATGAAAAATGTTATTCTTTTAAAATTATATTTAATTTACAAACAACATTCATTTTTATTTTTTAGATGACTGAGTTGCAACAATTAGGAGGGAACAATGGATATGAATTTATTAGAAGATGTTTATCTATGATATTAACAAATGAGATTGCGGATAAATATAGTTTTTTTGGACGAAAGAAGAAAAAAGCGTTTTGTAACCTTAATATTTGCAAAGTTTTAATAAGTGAGTATTACATTCTAGAAAAGTTTATCTAAAAATTTCAAACAAAAATATAAAAAAAATGTAAATGTTTCCTATTTTTTTAAATTGCATAAATTAAATAATTTTGTTTCATTTTATGTTAAATAGGTGCCTCTAAAATAGGAGGATATTGTCAAACAACTAAAGAAGCAGAAAAACATATTCAAGGATGGTTGAGAAGAGCTGCTGAAAGAGGAAAACTGAGACAATAAATTTAAAATACATCTTATATTCTGTATTTGCAAAGGATGATGAGACAAGAGATGATAATGATGATGATACGAAATCTCGTCGGATAGTAACATCCAGATCACCATACAGCACTACCACAATACAAAGTGCCTAAGCAATATGCAGCTGTTGTAATAGGAAGAGGTGGTTCAGTGATCAAAAACATACAAGATAAAAGTGGCACACATATTAATATGAGTAAAGATGATATAGAATCTCCGTATCGTCTCTGTGTTATACAAGGAAAAGAAATGGAAGACATTCGTTTAGCAGAGTCAATGATCAAAATATAAAGGAAATCAGCCTATCATTGAGATCTATGAATTGTTAGTGCCATTCGAACCTTGTGGAATAATCTTAAGAAAAAGTGCAAATACTCTCTCTCTCTCTCTCTCTCTCTCTCTCCTCTCTCTCTCTCTCTCTCTCTCTCTCCCTCCTTCTCTCTCTCTCTCTCTCGTCTCTCTCTCTCTCTCTCTCTCCTCCTCTCCTCCCTCCCTTCCCTCCCTCTCCTCTCCCTCCTCTTTTCCTCTTTCCTCTCTCCTCTCTCTCCTCTCCTCTCTCCTCTCCTCTCCTCCCTCCTCTCTTCTCTCCTCTCCTTTCTTTCTTCTCCTCTCTCTCTCTCCTCTCTCCTCCTCCTCTCCTCTCCTCTCCTCCTCTCCTCTCCTCTCTCCTCTCCCTTCCCTCTCCTCCCTCTCGCTCCTCTCCCCTCCCCTCCCCCCTCCCTTCCCTCTTTCCTCTTTTCTCCCTCCTCTGCTTTCCTCTTTTCCCTTCCTCTGCCTTTCCCTCCTCCTTTCCCTTTTCCTCTCTCTCCTCCTTTTCCCTCCTTTTCTTTCTCTTCCCTTCCCATCCCTTTCCTATCCCTTTCCCTTCCTTCCTTTCCCTCTCTGTTCCTCTTCCTCTTCTTCGTCCTTTTCCTTCTCTCCCTCTCCCTCTCTCTTTCCTCTATCTTTCTCTCCCTCTCTCCTCTCTCCCTTTCTCTCTCTTTCTTCCTTCCTTCTCTTTTTCTTTCTTTCTAATACGAAATATTGCATTATTTTTGAGAACATAATATATCATATAAAAATGTTATAATTATTTTTGTTCATTGACTGAATGTTATAGGAGCACACAAACGATTTCTTTCTTTCTAGTACAAAATGTTTTGTTATACTTTATTACTTTTTGTGTGAGATGAACAATAATCATATTATTTTTTCACTATAAATACTTTTAAAGAAAGTAATATATCATAAAATGTATAAGTACTTTTAAAGAAAGTAATATATCATATATAATTATTTTTGTTAATTATGATTAAGTGTTAGACCGGTTCTACAATAGGTAATTTATGCCCTAAACTTTAAGAAATTGATTACAGTCAAGTATGAATGGAATACTTGACTGTGATTAGTCAGTTTCTTAAAGCTTAGAGTATAAATTACCTATTGTAGACCTTATAAAAAACAAGATTCCTCTCTTTCCAGTACAAAATGTTTGTCATGTACATTACTTTTTGAAAGAAACAAAATTCGTTTTCTTTTTTCCGCAATAAATATTATTTTATTTATAATTTAAAAATGTTAAAACAATATTAAAATTATATGAGACATGATAAAAATATATAATAAATAATAAAATTTAATATATATTTAAAAGAATATTAAATTTGTTCTTTTTCTTAAAGTTTAATTTTAATGCTACATTAGGAATTTAATTTGTTAGCAATTACAATATTTGTATATATATTTTATACTATATTAATAAGTTGCTAACAAGTTAACTCCAATTTGCGTTAAAAATAAACAATATTTTACCTACACCTACCTAGAGCACAATATATCCAAAAGATGTTCAGAGGACATCCAGAGGATGTTTGAATGTCCTTTGGATGTCCTCTGAACGTCTTTTGAATATATGTGCTGTTAAACCTACTATAAAAATTTAAATAATGTTCGAAACAGGTCCAATTTTAGTCCGTTTGGTATATAAAATGGACATTTTTTAATTGTCCAAATCAGTAACACTGGACATATTTAAAATGTCTTAAAAATGTCTGAGGCTGTAATCTGGATGTTTTAAATATGTACGAAACGTCCAATATATATATATTTAGTACGTTTTTAAACGTTATTGTGCTGTCTGGGTATTCACCACTTCTGGAATATTTTCTGCAATGGTTTCC